CTACTCCCGTAAAGATTTACACCCTCGGAAACCCTATACAGGGTCGCTATGGGTCGGAACCGACTCGACGGCACTTAACAACAACAACAACAAAGCTAATTCTTTAAAAGAGTGCAATGCTCACAGAAGATACGCTTTACTGCTTAAGATACAACTTTTTTTTTGCTTCAAAGAAAACTTTAGGGGATAGTTTTGATTCAAGGTTTACAGTTCACAGGTAATCTCATGGCAGTAGGTTTGGGGGAGCACCCAGCTTCAGTGGCTCCAGAAAGTCAAGATTCCACTGAGGATTTGAAATTCTGTCAAAGAGTTACTGTAATGATTAAAACAAGTAATCTTTGTAGTGTCTGGTGCATAAATCTTGGACAAAAGTTGAACCTTACTAGGGGTCACTTTCACCATTTTCTATTGACACTCAAAATAGATAATGAGGCAGGACAACTTGATTTCTTCCAACCTCAGTTTCCTCATCTATAAAATGGGGCAAAAAGACTACCTAGCTCAGACTTCTGTGAGGATTAAGTCATTTCACACAGGAAAGCCTTTGGGACAGGGTCCAGATGTGGTCAGTGCTCTCAGCCAGTGAGAATAGAACCGCACTGGAGCAGGCGGCAGTGGGAGGACTTGCTCAAGATAGAGTTGCTCCTGTTAAGTGCTGTCGAGTCAGTTCCGACCCATAGTGACCCTGTATAGGATTTCCAAGGAGCAGCTGATGACATTGAACCACTGACCTTACAGTTCAAACCAACTTTGCAGTTCAGCACATTAGTCCACAGCACTACATCAGGACTCCCAAGATAGAGTAAGACATTCAAAATACAAACAAGACAGACAGCCATTGGGCATGCAATTAGATTAGATTCTGGCACCTTTATAACTTAGTTTACCGCCAGCTTGTTTCAGCAGCCCGTAACCGTTGCTTCACTGTTCCCACCAGACCGTTATCTAGTCTTAATTAGCACTGTTCCTGCCATCACTATGGTGGTAAACTGCTTATCTGTAAGCAAGCGTGGGAATTGGAACTCAATAGAATGGAAAGGGCTGGTTCAGAATGGAAGAATTGCATTTTAGCCTTGATGAAAACTGCATTCAGACTGAAAAGATTCTTGTCTCCCTGAGGTCTCTTACCCTCCAGACCTGCCCCTGTCATGAAATTTTCATGAGGGAGAGTGTGCTTAGTAGCCTGTCTTCTCTCCTGACCAGGCAAGCATCTATAGACGCTGCCACATCTGGGACTGTTTACTGTGCTGTTTGAACCATGCCAGCCCTGGCCCTCTGCCCTCAGATGGATTTGGTTACTACTAATAAGTTCTCTCTCTTTCTCCCCTCCTCATGTCCTCCCTACCCAGGGGGACAGAGGTGACCCAGGGCCTGATGGTGAACGTGGTGAGAAAGGCCAGGAGGGGCTGATGGGCGATGATGGGCCCCCAGGGCCCCCTGGAATCACTGGCGTCCGGGTAAGTGTGTGTGTCTGGGTGCCATCGCTTGGGGCTCCTTTTTTTGCTGGTCCAGGGAGCTGGGAGGAGCCTGTACAGCCACTACCTAAGTGATCTCTTGCAGTGGTCCTTCTACCACTGAGAAGTTCCCCAGAGTACTAATCTGACCATGTCTCTCCCTTACCTACCCTCTATGGCTCCCTAGTGCTCTCAGAACAAACTTCACTCTCCTTATCCTGCCTTGTCAGCCCTGCACCAACCTGGTCCCTGCCAGCCTCATTCATTCCAGTCCCACATTGAGCCACACTGAGCTTGTGCACAAACCATGCTCTTACCCCCTGAGCTTTTGCTGTTACCTCCTTCTAAGATACTCTCCCTTCCTCACGTCTCTGTCACCGATTTTGGCCTTCAGCTATCATCACAGACAACAACTTCTCTAGGAAGTGTCCCCTGACCCCAGGCTGGGCCATTGGCTTCAGTGACACCACCCCCAGTGTATAAGTATCATGCACCTTTATGGCCTTAACACCCAAAATCAGTGACTGCCACATAGGAGGGACCAAACCTGTTTATTGGTCAATCTGGGCTTCCATCCTACCAAAAAATCATTTAGTCAGTCCACAAACTCATGACTCACGTCTGCATCCCCGGGCCCCCTGAGGACGATGAAGTGAATCCCACAACATCCCTGCCCTTGAGCGACATAGAACCTGGTCGGGAAAGGATAAGAACTGCCATGTTCGATATATGTAGACCCCCTGCCTGAATGCTTTCCAGAACATTCCCTCTTTGATACACTTTGATGCTGACAGTAAACCTCTGAAGACTCTGAGAATCAGAGAGGTTAAGGGACTTGCCCAGTCTCACACAGGTAAGAAATGTCAGATCTGGGATTTGAACTCCAGCCTGTCTGATTGTATACACATTACTCTTCTAACCCAGGGCTCAGGTTGGGCATCTGGGAGGGAGAAAGTAGGAGCCTGCTAGGGCCTGATTTCAGAGTGCCTCCCAAGCTAGACTGTTGGTTTGGGCCTTGACTTTGAGGTTTGCAAAGTTGAGCAGGCTGTTTGTGACCTGGGAGCAGCACTTTCCTAGTGTGGGGCCAGTTCATTGGAACTGCTTGGGGCCAGTGGATTAGGCAGCCCTGCAGCTAAGCTGCCCAGAGTACAGGCCTACTGGCATTCTACCTGCAGGCCGGGTGTTGAGATCTCGAGCCTCTGCTACCAGCCCATTTCCCTTGAGCTGTGGGTTTCCCTCTTCATCCCCCAAAGGGAGAAACTGGTGTGTCACTGGCCACAGCTGCCCTATGTCCCTCAAGACTTTTTCTGCCTCTTGCCTGTTGAAATGACTAACTCAGGATGGGTCCAAATTAGCTGACAACAAACTGTTATGGGAGAATCATATCTGTTTCCTAAAATAGACCTGAAGTGTTAATCCCCCTTAACAGCTGCAGCAGTAACTAGAGAGACTGCCCTAGGCTTGCAGCAGCAAGGCAGAAATGGTCCAGCGGGAGTCTACAGGAGAGTCTCAGGCCTGAGCCTCCATCAGTAACTTGCTGTTCGACCTTTCACTAGCCTCTTGCTCTCTCTGAGCCTGCTTTGCCTGCATAGTAAGATGAAGGATTTGGAAGGAATGTGCTCAAAGACGCTTTTGAAGTCCGAAGTCTCAGGGGCATTTGTGTGTGTGTGAATTTTTGAGTGTCATGACTGGAATGGGCAGTAACATGTGCCAGAAATAGCCCTGGACTTAGAGTCCAAAAACTGATCCCTAGTCCTGGCTCGAGCACTCACTCTCTGTGTGACCTTGGATGAATCACTGCCCATCTCTGAGTCTTGGATTTTGCGTTTACAAAGGGTAAATGAAGCTCCAGATAGGAAAACACTGTATACAATGCACCAGGAATGTCAGAGATTGTCTCTGTGCATCTGGGTGAGGAAATGAGTGGGAACCTGCAGTGGTGGGTGGTGCCGGTGATGGTGGTATGGGGCAGGGGCAGTGGCAGTGGTGGTGGCAGTAGTGGTGCTGATGGTAGAGATACAGATGGTGATGATGCTGGTGGCAGTGGTGACAGAGTTAAAGTGGGTGTTTTGCCGTCACCTCCAGTTCTCATGTACCAGAAGTGGAAAGTGGTTCGCTGGGGCCAGACTAAATGTGTATCGGGTTGTGGAGTCACTAAGGGGCCAGTGTTTGATTCTTTGGCATTAGGACTGCAGATCAAATATTTCCCATTCTGTGTCCTGGAAGAGTAATAGAGAGCTTAAAAATAGAATGTTATGAGCCACCAGGGCCTTTCCAGAATTGCATGTATATGGAAAGGGCCCAGCAACCACCCTGATTCTTGTGCTACGCCCTTACTCAGGGTTTCCCACAGTGGGAGAGGTCTCAGCTGCAGAGGGCCTGGAGAAGAAGTTGCGCCTGCCCTAGGGGAGAACCAGCTTCCGTCTCCCTGGCCCTGTACTAAATGTTTTGACTTTGACTCATTTCTCTCCTTTACCAGGGATCAGTCATTGTAGTCATTTCAATCCACCATCAGATTTGTTGTTATGATTGTTAAGTGTCGTGCAGTCAGTTCAGACTCATGGTGACCCTGTATAGAGTTTCCAAGGAGTGGCAGCTGATAGGTTTGAACTTCCGACCTTGTGGTTCAAATCGAACTTGCGTTCCAGTACTTATCCTGCATCGCTCCACCGTACTTCATCACCAGACTTATCAGCCCCTTTATCATGATGTCATCATTGCCAGGCCAATCTGGGGCACAGGGAACAGAGCAGAATCTAAGGGCCCATGCCTCACTTCCAGCCTGGCTGGGGAATCCAGGGGTAGCATCTGTTTCTGACTAAGCTTCAATTTCTTTATCTCTGAAATGGGGTCATAATCACTTCCTCCCAACGCTGTTGTAAGAATTGCATGAAATGTCTATGTGGGGTGTAGACACAATATCTGGCCTGTGGTTCAAGGCCAGGAGGATTATTGCATTTTATTACTGAAGAAACCAGAGACCTGGGGATTTTCTAGCCAGGCAGTGTCCAAGAAGAATAGAATACGACAAGAAATGAAGTCCAGATGCATGCCACAACGTGATGAACCTTGAAATCAGCATGCTGAGTGAGATAAATCAATCACACAGTGTATGATCTCACTTTAAGAAATATGCAAATATAGAGAAACCAAAATTTGTAAGTATTAGTGGTTACTAGGAATCATAGAAGGAGCTCTGGTAGTGTAGTAGTTACAAATCGGGCTGCTAATCTCATGGTCAGCAGTTCAAAACTACCAGCTATTCTGCAGGAGAAAGATGAGGCTTTCGGCTTCCGTAAAGATTTACAGCATTGGAAACCCTGTATACGATCCTCGCTATGAGTCAGAACTGACTCCATGGCACATAACAACAACAACAACAAGGGACGGTGGTAGTTGTTGTTAAGTGCCATTGAGCCGATTCCGACTCTTAGCGACTCTGTATAGAGTTTCTTGCTCCTGTGGAGTGACTGGTGGGCTTAAACTTTTGACCTTGTGGTTTACAGTCTAGTGTTTATCCTACAGAGCCACTGTGCTTCCATAGGGCACATTGAGTTTATGTTAATGGTGATGAAATGATTTAGAAAAGGACAGCAAGAATGGTTTACAACTTGAAGAATGTAATCAGTGTCACTGAAATGTCCATGTAGAAATTGTTGAGATAGCTTTATTTGGCTAAATATACCAAGTATTTTTAACACAAAACAATAAAATAGAATACTGGCCACTTGTGTCATTTAAACTTTTTCTTGTAACCACATAAAAGTAAAAAGAAACAGATGGAATTCATTTTGATAAGATATTTTAATTAACTCAGTATATCCAAAATATTATCGTTTCAATATGTAATTAATATAAAAAATCATTAATGAGATAATTTATAATCTTTTTAAACTAAATCTTTTGAATTAATTCAGATGTTAAATTATCGCTGAAAATACTCTATCTGTACCTCAGTTTTAAACATTTTCAAAGTTGAAAAAGTAGACGCATATGCTCAAGTTTCTAAACATACTTGAAAATTTTCCAATTAACTGAACTGAGTATCAGTTTTAAATTTTGATTTTGAATTAAATTAAATTCAGTCACTGTAGCCACATTCCACGTGCTCAGTGGCTGCCCATTGGACCATAAAAGGCCAGATCCAAGACTTTCAGATCAGAAGTGGGGAAACTGTGGGGAAAAGAGAAGGAGAGGGGCGTGTCCAGGTCATCTGAGAGTAGCAGGATGCAGGCAGTCTGTGATTGGGCCCTTCCAGGGTCTGCGGCATCCTGGTCGTTCCCTTTGGTTTAGAGTTGTCTCCAGTTTTTTCTATGTTGTGCCTTTTGAGCAGACTTTCTCCTTGTGTTGAATCAGAGCTGCCCCGACACACACACCAGCAATTTCCCCCACTGGCCTTCCCAGTGGTCAGCTGCAGCCATCTGCAGACAGGAATCAGGCCCTCTGGGTGGCCCAGGTGTTCCTTGTTCCTCTAGGACCGCCTCTCCTGCCTCTCCTCCCTCACAGTTAGTCTGTGTCCTTTTAAAGCACTACTCCCCCTCAAGACTGGACCTTCACCTCTTGTTCTACAGCCTAAATCTCAGTTCACACAGCCAGAGGACTGAGACAAACCATTCTTAGTGCTTTCCAGGACTGTAAATCTTCTTCCCAGTTCCCTTTGAGGCTTGGGCCTTGAGGGATTATTCTCTGGGAAGTGTCAAGAAGTCCCTTCCAGACCAGAAAAACTGCCCACTCTACCCCCTCATTCCAGCTCAGATCCAGTGTCAGTTCCCCTACTCTTTCTCCCACCCCTCTACGTTACTCACACAAGCACACTTACACACACTTACACACTTTTGAGTGGTTTCCCTGACCTGGAGACAAAGCCAGATGAGGCCCCAGGCTGAGCAGGTTGAGGATTCCTATTGATGCCCCTATTCATTGATTCCAACTCATAGCGACCCTGTAGGACTGCCCCATAGGTTCTGCAAGGCTGTAACCTTTACAGAAACATACGGCCACATGATTCTCCTGAGGAGTGGCTCTTGGCCTTGAATTGTGGACCTTTCGGTCAGCAGCTGCGTGCTTCTTCTCCCTGAGATAGAGTGTCCCAGGCACACACCACCCACCCAGTGTGAGAATAGGAGAGAGGGTGGCAGACCTTCTCAACACAGTGACTCCAGCATGGGACAGAGGGAACTGAGGAGTCCCTCCTGCCCCAGTTCCCAAGAGGGGGCCTTTCAGTGGGACACCACACTAGGAACTGTGTGAAGGTGGGGGAGAGCCTAGTGCTGTTCCCATTGGAGCGGTCCCCAGACACCTAGCGGTAACCATGCCAACAGCGATAGTACAGTTGTATCTAGCATGCACTCTTGCCAGCACTGTTGTAAGCATGCTGCTGTATTAACAAGTTGAACCCTTAAAGTTCCATGAGGCAAAGTCCGCTCCTGTGCCCATTTCACAGATGAGGACCCTGAGGCACGGGGAAGCAAGATCGCATGTGCACAGTCACAATGATATTGAATGAAATGGCACCCTCACTGCTACATGGAGCTGCCTCCAGTTTTCTCTCCTGACTTTTCTCCCTCCTCTCCCTTCAGGGTCCTGAAGGAAAACCAGGCAAGCAAGGAGAGAAGGGCCGGATAGGAACCAAGGTAACCCCGCCTCCTCACCCACTCCTCCTTGTCCCTTGCTACTTCTGGGGCCTAGTGACCGCCTGTCTTTCCTCCCGTTGCAGGGTGCCAAGGGCTACCAAGGACAGCTGGGTGAGATGGGCACCCCAGGAGACCCTGGACCCCCTGGCACCCCAGGCCCTAAAGGATCTCGGGGCAGTCTGGGACCAACGGTGAGGACCCTCTGGTTGCTATAGGGAGGTGTCCAGCATGGGACAGAGGGAGCTGAGGGCAGAAAGGGAGGTGCCAGGATGTCAGAAGTGCCAGGTTCCCTGTACTGGTTTTGCCCACCCTAGTGGTCAGCTACATACAGCCCTGGGCATTCACATCCCGGCTGCCTCTTCTGGATCATGGACCCCTTTAGGCACCTGCAGGAAGCTGCAGTCCTTCTCCCTGGAACAGTAAGCACAACGCCAAAGATTTCTTGCAATTTGTAGAGGTCTATAGCATTGCGAGGTAATATGCACTGAACTACAAGGTCGTTTTGAACTGAAAGGTGGGTGGTTCAAGCTCACCATTTGCTTCTTGGAAACCCTATACAGGATCACTATGAGTCAGAACTAACTCAGTGGCACTTAATAACAACAACAACATGGGTTCGCTGGAGTCCTGGTGTGATGCTGTAGTATAAGCGCTGGACTGCCAACCACAAGGTTGACAGTTTAAACCCACTAGCAGCTCCTCGGAAACACTATACAAAGTCACTATGATTTGGAACTGACTCAAAGGCACTTAACAACAGCATTCGTCCCCTGGGAAACAGCTCCCGTTGAAGTTAAAGTGCTCAGCTGCTAGTTAACAGGTCGGTGGTTCTAAACCATCAGCCACTCTGCAGGAGAAAGATGTGGCAATCGGCTTCCATAAAGATTTGCAGCCTTGGAAGCCCTATTGGGGAGTACTACTCTGCCATAGGAGCTCTGCTAGGAGAATCAGCTCAAACAAAGCCTTCCGAAGTCCTTGATATACCCTTGTAAGACCCTGGTGAGAGCAGGGGCAGAAGAGGGTGATGGAGCATCTCTGAGCAGCAGGTAGTGTGTACTGGTTTGTGGTAGTGACCCGTTCCTGTGATGTAAATACTCACACCATGGTTGATTTCAAACTGCCACCATGAGGTTGCTGAACGTAGAGTTGGGAGTGATGCTCAGGGGTGCTCTGTTTTGTAGTATCTGTGCCACACAGACAAAAGAGCTGAAATACCCCCAGGAGCTCGGGCAATAGTTAAATGTACTAGCACAATTAGGAAGAGGTGAGTTTGGAGTAAGTGCCTCCTTTGTTTTGGTTCGATTTATATAATTCCAAGTTTTCATCATTTAGCTTTTCGGAGGAGCTCTGTTTTACAACTGACTCACAAAATTCCTGAATATTTAGCAATTAGCTCTCCTGAGCCCCTGGAGCCGGGATTAAGAAGGGCTGGGGAGAGGGCTGCTTCAAGGAGGGAGGCTGGAACTCCAAGGAGTAGGTTCTGAACTGAGTGGGTGTGCCAGGCTGCAGGGCTGGAGCCTGGGGCCAGACTACGCCTAGGTTCCTGCCGGGAGAACCAACGAGGGTCTCCTCTTCTCATAGGGTGCTCCCGGACGGATGGGGCCCCAAGGAGAACCAGGACTGGCTGGTTATGACGTAAGACAATGCTGCCTTAAGGAGCTCTCTCCTCTCCCCCTCCCCGGGAAATGTCCCCACCAACTCCCAGCCCAGGCTTAGCCTTGGGGTCACTGAAGGTGGCACTATCACCTGTCCAGAGAGCACGTGGGCCCATAGACGAGGTGGAGTAGGGTGCATTCACATCCCTGAGTCCTCAGTGGGTGCCGCACACACTGCATGTCCTGTCTCCCCTTGCTTTCTGTAGGAGGGAGGAGGCTTAGCTCATTTTTGCATTGAAGTTCACAGCCCTGCTCAGAGGTGGTTGAGTCAAACCCACTTACAGCTTTGGGGAGATCTGGCCTCAGAGGGCTCTAGGGGACCTAGAGGGGGGTGCACCTAGAGTTCTGGCCATGGTGTGGGCAGTCTGTAGGCACCAGTTCCTTGACCCTGCCCAGAGGACAGCACCTGGCTCTCCTGAGATGTGGCCTTGGCTCTGCTCCAAGGTGGGGCAGGCAGAGCCCCACCAGTCAAGCTGAGTAACCACTAAGGCCTGGCTGAGCCAAACCCACATAGCACGTCTGGGGCCTGCTCAGTGCCACACTGCAGTGCAGGAGAGCCAGGGCCAAGACATGCAGTCGTATTTCCATCTCTGACCCTCTGCCCTTTCATTGTGGCCCCTCCGGAGACCTTAAGACCCCCTTCTAGTTCCCTGACCTGTCACCACCTTAATTTCCTGCAGGGACACAAAGGCATTGTGGGACCCCTTGGACCTCCTGGACCAAAAGGTGAAAAGGTGGGTGTTTGGCTTTGGAAGCTCCCCTGTATCCACAGCCAAGCTCAGTTCTAGGGGAAGCAGGAACAAGCTCCTGGGTACCTGTGCTTGACTCACCCCCTGTTCACAGCCTTCAAGGGCATTGCCACTGCTGCGGTGCTCACCGGAAGGACCTTCAGTGGACGTATGTACTGGGTATTGTCTCTGTGCCTGGCAGTGGTGGACAATAGCAGACACAGTTCTCATCCTCGTGGAGTAATAAACACCAATCATATATGTCCTGTACCAGTTGGCTCTTGTTCATGGCAATTCCATGTGTGTCAGAGTAAAACAATGCTTCATAGGGCTTTCAATGGCTGATATTTTGAAAGTAGATTGAGAGGTCTTTCTTTCTGGATGGCTGGACTCAAACATGCAATCTTTTGATTAGCAGCCAAGCTCATTAACTGTTTACGATACCCAGGGGCACCTATATAATGAGTAGAACTGCGTGAGTGAGTCCGTTACTGCGTGCCTATGAATGAAGTCACTCAGTAAGAGCAGGGAGGGAACATGAGCGGGGTAGGGTTTGGGATGAGTGAGGAACACCATTGAGACCAAGGGGAAGGAATGTCTGTTCCCCACCGTGTGGCTCCAGATTCCACAGAGGAAAGAAACTTCCAGAAGAAGCCTTGTTGGTCATCGAACCCTGACCCATTGTGCAGGAAACACTGGGAGCCAGAAAGGCCAAGCATCATCACCGGATCACACAAGGCAGTGCCTGGGCAGCTCCAGAACCCAAGTCTCTGAATCCCGCTCCCTCTAATTATTTCTTGGAATGCCTCCGAGCAGGCCTGCCCCTGGCCCCCTTTCTCCCCAGCCGCCCTGACTTTTGCTGCGTCAGCTGCCTACTAACTAAATCCCGCTGTCAGTGAATCACCCTGGCCTGGCTTACTGTCCAGCTGGCCCCTTCCTTCTTGGAGAAGAGCAGCGATTCCATCAGAGCAGAGTAGAGTAGCCTGCAGGACAGATCCCACAGGAAGCTGACAGACTTCCAGTCCCTCTTCCAGCCCTTGCTGTCTACCACGACTGGCACGGAATGGGTTAACCCAGACCTGGAAACAAGGAGGAGTCAGTGGACCCTCAAACCTTCGCTCTGACCATCTGCAACTTCAGAAGCAGACCACGTGGCTGAGAATGGGACCCTGACACGCAATCTCTGTCGCAGGATTCCTTGCTCCTTGAGGGCCATATCTGTTCATGTGAGGCCCAGGAGGCCAATGAGTATGGATCACACTCCAGGGTCCTGGCTGTCTCTCCTGCATTTTCAGAGCCCTGGTGTGGCGTTCAAGGATACACAGTGGCCTGCTCTAGAGACACAGAAGGAGCACAGTGGCTCTGTGGGAGAAATACTGACCTGTGAACCACAAGGTTCACACCCACCAGCTGCTGGGTGGGAGAAAGATGAGGCTTTCGGTTCTCACAAAGATTTATAGCCTCAGAACCCAATGCACGGTCAATATGAGTCGGCGCCAACTCAACGGTCCTTAACAATAAGAGATATATAAGAATAATATTCATCATTCATTTTTTAATGTTGTTGTTGTTAAGTGCCATCGAGTTGGTGCTGACTCATAGTGATCCTGTACAGGGTTTCCAAGAAGCAGCTGCTGGGTTTGAACTGCTGACCTTGTGGTTTATAGTCCAGTGTTGACCCTATAGCACCAAAATAGGAGTCCTTTTTAATACTAGGATGAATTCAGTCATTTGACCAACTCTTTAGCCAGGTATCTATTGAGGACTTAGTGTGTTCCAGGCCATTGAACTGGAGAATGATGCTCCAAAGAACACAGAAATAAAATGATTACACAAATGCATAGCCACCCGCGAGCTGTGGAAGGTGTTGGGAAGGAGAGAGCCACTTCTGGAGGGAGGCCCACCACAAGGCAGTGACTGTGTGCAAATGTCCTTCCCTAGATTGATTTCCTCCTGGAATCTTCACCGTAGGCCAGGTGGGGGAAACCAGCATCCACTCTGCTTAGGGGTTAGTTCAGGATCAGTGGTGGGAGGGGGCAGGGGCAGGACGCAGACTTCTTTCTGTCTGTGCGATGCTGGTTCATCACCCAGCAGCTAGACGGATTAGGAAATGGGCTTAGACTAGAGAGAGAATTGAGGAGTTTTACCAGCATTCTGGTGCTAAAAACATGCATCCCCAAACTACAGCCATCTGATCAGTGGTGATGCCTTGGGGAAGAGAGTCTGGGTAACTAGTTTGGGGCCCATATCACCCCTTGTTCTTGTGTGGCTTTGGCCTCTTCTTTCCTTGAGTCTCAGTTTCCCCATCTTTAAAATGGGGACAGTCCTAGCAGAATAGGATTGCTGTAACAATTCTATGAAGCAGTGTATGAGACATAACTCACAAAGTGCTTGGTGCATAGAGCACATTAGATAAATGTGGGCCCCAGCTCCCCTAAACTCCCCAGTCCAGCTGCCTCCATAGCAGAGCCAAACCCTGGGCCAAGGGACCAAAGAGAGTGGGCCCAAGTGGAGAGGAGAGGGCCAGCCCCTTGTGTATAACTGGTTCCAGGCTTTGGGCCAGTTGCCACCCACCTTCAGTCTCTGCCCACGGGAGCCACAGAGGCCCAAGGCCAAGGCCTGCAGCCCACCAGCCCACCAACCCAGGACTGCGTCATACCTGGGACATGCTTCAGCCTGGAGACAGTACTCCCTGCCCTCAGGCCTCCCCTCCATCCCTGCAGACAAGGGGACTCGGGACCCTGACTTGAGCTTCAGGGAAGGTCACACCAATTCTCCCGACTGGAGGAGTCTGAGTTCTGAAGTCCTGCTTCACCCCTTCCTTAGAGCGGGGAGTAGACAGCTGACCCCTGGCCTCTGCGAGTGGACCAGGCCCTCGGATGGCCTGCAGTAGCACCAGAATCTCGGTTCTGTCCTCACCCATGACCACATCATCACTGGTATTTTTGTTATCAACAGCAACACTTTCAGTGATCTTTGGCTGAGCCCTTTGCTCAGAGGCAGAATTTTGGCTTCCCCTGTGGGAAACCCAGCTTTGATTTCCAGCCAATACATCTTACATGCAGCCACCACCTGAAGGCTGTGAGTGGAAGCTTGTGTGCTGCCATGAAGCCCAACAGACTAAGATGGGCTAGGAAGAAGCCCCTGTGGATTACAGCGGTTCCGTCTATAATGGATCAGAGGGTAGCACAGGCCAGGCAGTGTTGTATCCCATTGTGCACAGGATTGCTGTGTGTTAAGGACGGACTGAGTCCCTCCTACAAACACAACAGCGTGCTGAGAGTTTGACCTGCCTTTCTTTATCAACTCCATTGCTATGAGACAGGATGGTTACAACTCGCTTTTACAGCTAGGAACCGTTTTGCACAGAAGATTCTGAACTGGCTGAGTACAACATGGGGGAGCTCTGGAGCCTTCCCATCAAGGTGTTGGGGGTTTCATCCTAAAGCTGATTCTCTGTTCACTTCCTCCCAGCAAGGGTCAGAGAAAGTGACTCTAACTCAGAACTGAGCAAATCATATCACTTCTGTGTGCCCATGCCTCATCTGTCAAATGCAGCTTCCTAGGGTTGGTGTGAGGGTTAAATCCTGCCAGGCACCTTGCAGGGGCTGCTATGCCATCCTCTCACACACCCCTCGTGGATTGTCCCTTCTCCCCATCCCCACACCAGCTGAGAAGGCTCAGAGATGGGGGGAGGGCTCCTGGTGGAAGTTCACATAATGCTGCAATCTTTACCAACCTCTCTCCCTCTGACTCAGTGGCTGCACACCCTTTTCCAGCCTGAGGGGCAGCTTAGGTGGTGCCCAGGCAGATGGAGGGCGAAGAGCCCTGCACATTGTTCTGACAATCTTGCTTCTGAGCGCCTGTCTGGTTCAGACATTGTGTAACCCAGACCAGTTCCTTCCCTCTCAGGCTCCCTCTGTCCATCTTCTGATGAAGGCCTAATTGATGAGCATCCGTGTGCTTAGAATTCCCACAGTTCACCAGGAGTGCAGACTTGTCTTAAAACTGCTTCTGTGTCTGCAGGGGGAGCAGGGTGATGATGGCAAGGCTGAGGGGCCCCCTGGACCACCTGGAGATCGGGTAAGCCCCTCCTTGTGTCCCCCTAGACCTGGTCCAAGGTAGAGCTTGGCTACCCACGGTGGGGGAGGGGAGGCAGAGCCACACAGAGGTGTAGCCTAGGCCCAGCCTGCCCTGCACTTGGTGACCCATGGTTTGTTGTTGTCCTTGTTATTCAGGGCCCAGTGGGTGATCGAGGGGACCGTGGAGAAGCGGGTGACCCTGGATACCCTGTAAGTATCACTGTTCTTATCTGTCAGCAAGACAGGGGCACTGTAGAAAGGTGGTTCCTGGGTCCCTAGCCTCAGGAATGGGACATGCTTCATTTAGAAACCAACATATCCCTTCTTTCCATCACTGGTGCTAATGCTGGAAATGCCCCCTCCACACCTCCCAAGAGGACTTGGGTGCTGGCATCCACACTGAAAGGATGGGGAGTGAGAGGGGAGAGCGGGCAGGAGACCAGCTGTGCCTGGTGCCTGCTGATGGGTTCCTTTTGGCATGGTCTTGAGTAGCCCCTTCTCCTTTGAGGGAGGACCTCCGTCGTCCCATGTGTAGCTGGCTGGGAGGCAGAGCATTGAAGGAACAGCAGATCCTGCAGACTCTTTACCTCCTCTTTCCATCACCCATGCTGGCGCTGGGAGGCAGGGTCGTTGTTTCACCCATTTTGCAGATGAGGAAGCTGAGAGTCAGTGAGGGAACATGACACATTGCTAGGAAGAACAAGACTCTCCTGGAATCTTCCTCCAGAAAGGAACTTGCCTGGGCCCCAGCCCCCTCCAAGACAGACCCCTTTACCTGTCTCTCCTTGACTTTCAGGGTCATGAGGGTGTACAAGGCGTCCGTGGAAGACCAGGCCAACAGGGCCGCCCCGTGAGTGGTACTTTCTGTCCCATCCCCTCCTGCCTTGAGGGTGGTGGATCGGGGAATTAAATAACTTGGCCCTTTAAAGCTTAAAGGAGTCTTCTGCAGTAGGCCCTGGTGAGCCTGGTCTGGTTTCTATAGCCCGGCCCTGGGGGCACCCCCAGAGCCTGCATCCCCAAACCCCTCCCCACCCTCCCTCTCCAGGCGGAGACTGGCCACTCTCCCCGGGAGAGTCCTGGGGCTACCTTGCGTCATCTCACCTTGGTTTGCAGGGGCATCCTGGACCCCGGGGGCGGCCGGGACCCAAAGGATCAAAAGGCGAGGAGGTAAGAGGACTGATTGTTCACCTGGGAGTCAGGTTGTGGAAAGGAAAAGACTGGCCCAAGGTCACACAGCAAGTCCAATGCAGGGCTGGGCAGGAGTGAGGAAACCACAGGGAAAATAGTCCATCCTGAGCCTCCCAGGGTGCTTTCTGACTCCATTTCCTATTCACAAACAGCTGGGATGATAAGTCCCCTTTATTGAGGCTCTGGGAGGGGGTCATCTGCCTGAGGTTGGCCTGCTCAGAAGGAGCAGGTGGGCTTTGAAGTCAGGACAGTCAAAATCCAAAGCCCACCTCTCTCCCACCAAAGCACACTGTAGAAGGGGAGCAGAGTCTGAATCAGGCAAGTGAGGGGCTGGAGAGAGGGGGAAATGGTGATGCTTAGGGAGGGAATTGAGCGGCCACGAACAGCCCTCCCCACTCTGGGAGATCAACTTCCAATGCCCAGAGCAGCCTCAGTGGTGTGGGAGCCACTGGGGGACATTGGGACCCACAGCAGGGTCAGTGACAACAACTGGCAGATCCCAAGGCCAGCCCTGCCCCTGGACTTAGAGATTCAGATGCTAAGGCCCAGGAGGTGAAGGAGCAGCTAGTTACACAGGGAACCCTATTTTCACAGTGTCCCTTCCAGAGCCCCTAGAGTGCTGTCCTGCCTTCAGGCAGCCTCCTTCATGTACCTTTTAATTTTTCAGGGACCAAAGGGAAAGCAAGGCAAGGCTGGTGTCCCAGGCAGGAGGGGGATCCAGGTGAGTGACCTGTCGCTGCTTTGCTTCCGCTGGCCTCCCTGCCCTCCCTAGAAGCCCTCACCAGTTTCTTCTGTGTCCCCAGGGCATGCAGGGGCTGCCAGGGCCCCGGGGCGTGGTGGGGAGACAGGGCCCCGAGGGCGTTGCTGGACCAGATGGGCTTCCTGGCAGGGATGGCCTAGCAGGACAGCAGGTGAGTCGGACTCGAGTTATCAGGCAGTAGCTCCGTTTGAGACAGGGCAGAAGGACTACATAGGCCACGGTCCAGGAAGAACACATTTGGAAGCTTGACTTGGATGAGATAGAACCAACATGTTCAGACGCTTCCTAAGAATTGCTGCATCCCTTGGGGTCAGACAGAGCCAGCCCTTCTGACCATCTCTTCTCAATGCCGGCTCCTGGGTCATTCGGTACAACTCCTGCCCAGTGGATAGAACTTCTGGTTTTAAGGTCTTTCCCTGCCCCCTCGCAAATCCACAGCTCATCATATTCCTGACTCAGCCATCCTCATCTGCAGACAGTTCATCCAGGAGTATGACCCCATCTCCTGCTCCAGCCGCCCCCAGGCCACCAGGCTGTGAGCCATTCACTCCTTGGCAATCAATTCCCTGAAACTTGAGAGATACATCCTCTTTGTCCTCTTTCTTTACAGGGGGAACAGGGAGATGATGGGGACCTTGGCCCCATGGGTCCTACTGGGAAGAGAGGAAATCCAGGGGTGGCTGGCTTACCTGGAGCACAGGGACCCCCAGGATTCCAGGTTAGGCACTTTTTAAATCCACATACCTCCTGCACCCCTCCTGCCTTGTACTAACGCTAATAGTACTGATTGTATGGTACTACTGACACTTTGAGAACTCATGTTCCAAGTAAGATCTTTGTGGAAATGAAATCCACATTACTGACCCTTCTCGGGGGGGCATGTCTCCAAACTTGAGCCAAATACAAAAGCTAGTTTATCCAGGTGGTTGTACCTACTGCTCCTCTCCCAGACCTTGAAGTCCTGGGTGGGACAAATGGGCAAGCGCTGCACTACTAGCTGAATGATTGGCAGATTGAACCCAACCATAGACACCTTGAAAGACAGGTCACAACAGCCTTGACAACCTATGGAAAAACGGGGAACCTAGGCAGGAAGCGGGAAGAGTGCCATCACATTGAGGGTAATCCAACCAATGTCACGAAACAAGATGTGTATAAATTGCTGAATGGAAAACCTATTTGCTGTGTAAAAACAAAACAAAAATAAGGAAGGAAAACTTCACGAACAAGTACAGTTCTACTCTGACACACACTGATTTGAAGGCAATTTATTGCAACCACCAAAAGATTGAAAGGAGCTCTCATAGCATAGTGGTTACAAGTCAGGCTGCTAACCTCAAGGTCAGCAGTTCAAACCTACCAGCAGTTCCATGGGAGAAAGCTGAGGCTTTCTGCTCCAGTAAAGAATTACAGCCTAGGAAACCTTGTTTAGGGTATCTTTGAGTCAGAACCGACTCCACAGCACATAACTACCACCACCACCAGATGATTGAAACTGATTGTTTAGTTGTCCTTTAGCGCCCTCTAGTGGACATTTGTAGAACCAGCTGTTGCTCGCCACCGAAATCCTGAGTGTTGTCTTTCAGTAGGGGTGAAGTGCAGCCATGAATCAGTCTAAGCCCAGGGTTAGACACCTAAGCTGCAGGTTAGTTGGAACCCTCTGGGAGGACACCAGGCAGAAGGACAGACAAATTTGGCCCAGGGAGCATTTTAATGGCAAAGAAGGGAGGAAGCTGGAGAGTAGGAGTGTGGAGTTGGAAACAGCCCAGGGTGTTGATGGGGAGGATGGGGAGCAATAAAGGGAGAGACAGCACAGAAGAGTGAAGAGGGAGATGGTATCTTCTTTGTATACAAGGGTAAGAAGAGAGCTCTTCCTCTGCAGGTTTGACCCCCAGGTTCATCTGTTGCCCCCAGCATCCTGTGGAATCATTGGTCCTCCACTGATAGCGTCCCACTCCTTCCTTTAGGACCATCTCCCCCACTTCAACTGGCAAATTTTGTGTGTTTCTTTAAGGGTGAGAATGGGTTACCCGGGCAGCTGGGTCCTCCTGGCAAGCGAGGGACAGAGGGCGGAACGGGGCTTCCTGGAAACCAGGGAGAGCGTGGATCCAAAGGCCAGTCGGTAAGTGAGCCATCAGAGCTACACATGCTCACAAACACTCACACACACACACATACACCTGGCTCTTTTGTGACAATGATGGAGCAACACTTACTCAGGGAAGGAAGAGCTGAGGAAACAGACCCAATGGTCCCTTCAGAATGAGGAGGGTGGATCAGGACCAGAACCCAGTAACCCAGTATATGCTGACTCCCAGCACAGTGCCCTTGCCAGACCATGCTGCCTTCAAGGACTAAATTGAAATTACATTTGTTTTGGAAAAGTAGAAAAAAACTAACAAAACGTAGTTGAGGCAAACAGAATGCAAATAGCAAATGGTGTTAGCACTCAAATGAAAAACCAGAGATTGTCATATGGATGGAAGTGTGTTGTTGGCAGAAACTCCACTCTAATTATACAAACACAAAAAGGCTAAAGTAAGAGTTCGGAAAATAGACACACTATGCTGATGTTCATCAAAAGAAAGACTAGCTATTTCAATACCAGACAAAATAGATTTAAGAGCAATGAATATTTACAGTAATAACGTCTGGTGTGGTGCTATAGTATACGTTCAGGACGGCAAGGTCAGTGTAAACCACAAGGCCGGCAGTTCAAACTCACCAATTGCTCCTTGGAAGCCCTATACTGAGTTGCTATAAGTTGGAACTGACTCGATGGCACTTAACAACAACAATGTTCATTTCATATGAAAGGAGTTTATCTTATCAGTATGGCATAGAAATTCTAACTGTTTATATGCCTAATAATATTGTTGTTGTTAAGAAGCTCTGGTAGCGTAGTGGTTATGAATCGGGCTGTGAACCTTAAGGTCAGCGGTTCGAAACTACCAGCCACTCTGCGGGAGAAAGATGAGGCTTTCTACTCCTGTAAAGATTTACACCCTCGGAAACCCTGTACAGGGTCGCTATGGGTCGGAACTGACTCGACGGCACTTAACAACAACAACAAAAAGTGCTGTTGAGTTGGGTCTGATTCGTAGCAATCCTGTATGGGGTTTCTGGAGAAGAGGCACACAGAATAACTGTCTCATTCTCAGAGGAGCTGGGAGGATGTGGTGAGGTCCTGCAGGTGACGGCTTCTTCCGTCTCCTGCTCACGGTCTTCTAAGGGACAGGTGAGGGCATGGGCAAAGGAGGAAAAACCCTATTTTAGAGAAGGGGAAACAGAGGCTCAGGAAGGGGAAGTGAGTTGTCCCAGGTCTTACAACAAAGAGGAGATGATTCTCACCCGGGGCTGACTGACTCAGGAGCCAGAACTCTGAACTCTGAATGTCCCACATAATGGCAGGTCCTAGGAGCTGCTGGCCCTTCGTCCTAGCCCAGGCCCTCACAACTAATTGCCCCCTTGAAATATGAGAGCCAGGGGCAGAAGAGGAGGCATGCAGGGCCCAGATCATTCACCCCTGAGTCTGAATCTAGCATGCTCCCCAACATCCCATCTGTGCATCTTGGGCACCTTCCTGCCTTCTCTGAGCCTGTGTCGTCATCTGTGACCAGGGACTATTGTGCCTCCCTGGGCCAGTGGACGCAGTGAGGTGCAGTCGATTTAGAACGGTGGGCACCCAGAGACCCTCTACTGATGGGGTTCCTTCACAGAGGCCTGGGCAGTCCTTCGTCTTCTTTCCTGAGTACCTGAGAGGTGGCCTCTGCTTTCACACCTCACCACCCAGGCTGGCGTGCAATCTCCATTGGGAGCTATCCACACTTGCCTGACCACCTTGGGTGGATCATTATCACCTCTGTAAAGTCTGGGATAGGGGAGAAGGCAGACCCAGGGACCCTGTTACTTCTGGACAACCAAATCCTTGTCCCTGTTCTTCCCACAGGGTGACTCTGGAGAGATGGGCTTCCCAGGAATGGCTGGCCTCTTTGGACCCAAGGTACAGACGTCCACTCCTTGTTGGTCCTGTGGGGTTCTACCACCCACCCATTCACTCATCTAGTCATTCAACAAACACTTAACTGCACAATGACAGGGTGGCTGGAACACAGACAGGATCAAGCTTGAACATCCTTGTACCCGCCCCCCTGTTACAGCAGATGTGGGTTCCAAACCCAGTTCAGCACTTTACCTGCTCAGCCTTCAGGCTAGTCATTTAGCCTCTCCAAACCTCAGTTTCCTCACCTATAAAATGGGGATGATAAGGGTGGAGACTAAGTAAAACCACTGACATAGAGCACATAGCACCAGCTGGTATGTGGGTACCTACTCAGTAGTCACAACTGTGGGGGTCTATCAGGTAAGACCTCTCCTGCTGGAGGGGTGGGGTTGCTGTTGGGGTCCTTGCCCACTGGCCCCCCAGGCACAGACAAACCCTCCTCTGACTCCCACAGGGGCCCCCTGGAGACATTGGCTTCAAAGGCATCCAGGGTCCTCGGGGTCCGCCTGGCTTGATGGTGAGTTCCCCTCTCCCCACAGGGTCAGTCACGGGAGACCCAAGGCTGGCTCAATCCTCCTCCTCATTCCTCTGCCCACGGCTCCATTTCCCCTCCCCTGCACCTGTGCCCTCTCCTGCTCTTGTGGGCTGCCCCCAGGCTGGCACTGCCATGCCCTGGGGCCCTCGGGCTGTCCCCACCCTTCCCTCTCAGAGGACTCTATTCCCACAAGCCTCTCTCTCCTCTAGGGAAAGAAAGGAATCATCGGGCCCCTTGGGGTCCTGGGACCTTCTGGAATCCCGGTATGTGCAGGGGTTGTGCAGGAAGGTTTCTGGGTCCCTTTACCTTATCGGCTCCAGATTGTCTCTGTGACCCAGAGCCAGTCTGAGCCTCAGTTTCCCTCTGTAAGCCCTTTCTCACTGGGTCATGGTTTGTTCCAGGGCCCAAAAGGTGACAGAGGCAGCCGAGGGGACTCGGTGAGTGGACGCTGTTGGGGGTGAGAAAGGGACGGGCTCTCGGGGATGGGGCAGGTCCCCTAACTCATTCCCCTGCTTTTGTCTCCCTTCAGGGATTACCAGGCCCACAGGTGAGTGGACCTGGGGTGTGGAGGCAGGCAGGGCACTTTGGGCTCTCCTCCTGATGGCAACAATTCATTCCCTCTCTGGACCTCAGTCTTCCTGTCTGTACTGGGGAACTATTGTCTCTGGGTCTTAGCTCTGCTAGAGGAGGGTCTGGGGTATGGATGGAAGATTGAAGTCCTCTGCCGCTGAGCCTCACTGTTCATCTCTCTCCTTCCAGGGTCCTCCCGGCCCAAGAGGGCGGCCTGGTCCACCGGTAGGTAACTGAGGGTTCAGTGTATCTGGGACGCTCAGGGGCAGACCTGGGTTCCTTTGAATGAGACTAAAGACTGTGGGCAGACACTTGCCTTTGTCCTAAACTTCACATGCTTCTTGTGGCCCACAGGCCTCTAGGAAAGTGGGATCAGCCCTGGAGGGGAATGTCAAATCCTCTCGTGCCCACTAGCCCCCTCCAGTCTCCTGGGAGCCTATCCTCTGGTGTCCAGGACCCATCAAACATACTGACCCACCCTCTTCTTTTGCAGGGTCCTCCAGGGAGCCCTCTTCAGTTTGTAAGTTGGAGAACATTGTCCTTTGCTCACCCAGGTGGGGTAGGGCTGGGGTATGCTATGGCCAGATGGCTAGAACCCTAAGCTGGAGCCAGGCAGGCTCCATCTCTGCAACCCTGGGCTCTGATGCAGTACGGTGAGGCAGGACGCCTGGGTTGTAGCCTGGACATACCCCTAACCATGGACCCAAGAAGATGAACCAACTCTGGGCTCCTGAGTCCTATCTTCACACTATGTCAGGCAGATCCTGAGAGTTCTGTCTCAGATTCTTTAAGTTCAAAGAGGGTCAAGCAAGGGGCCTACCTCCCTGGCATATGCTGCAGCCCTGTACCAGAGCAGGAACCCTCCAAGCCCAGTGACGACTCCCACAGGTCACCCCTGCACTGGTGAATTGACTGACAGCATCCCAAGGAAAAGACCAAGAAAGCAGGAACCCCTGGGCCTGGCTGAGGTTCCCTCTGACCCTCTGCTCTTCTCTCCTCTCCGCTTCTCTCTGTCCCCTTCATACCGTCCACCAAAGCAGACTGACAGCCTGGGCTTCTCCCCAGCTTTCCCCAGTCCTTCTCAAATAAGAGCTCCTGGAAAAACTCTTTCCTCCTAAAAAATACAAGAGTAGAGGTTGTTAAGGGTTTTTGCATAGTAACTCATATTTGCTAAGTGCTTGCTTCTTAGATGCCAGACACTCGTAGAAGTAAGTGTTCCTTGTGTATTAACTCGTTCATTCCTCTCAACAACTCTGTGCACGATAGTTTTATTATCATGCCCACTTTAAAGATGAGAAGACTGAGACACGGGGAGGTTAAACAACTTGTCCCAGATTACTACTTGTTCTGTAGTTACTAAGTGTCAGGCCTGGGCAGTGACCCTGAGTTCTTCTGGAGTCTGGCTCTGGAACCCCCAGTCCTGTTAGAGCAGGGGTGTGAAAACGTTTTTCTGCTAAAGGCCATTCAGATATTTATAACACCATTTAATATAAATGTATGCTGCTATGCAAAAAAAACTCCTTGTTGTTATGTGCTGTGGAGTTGGTTGTGACTTATAGCGACCCTGTACAGGATTTCTGAAGTTGTAAATCTTTACGGGAGCAGAAAGCCTCATCTTTCTCCCACGGAACAGCTGGTAGTTTCGAACTGCTGACCTGGCGGTTCGCAGTCCAATTCGTAACGACTATGCTACCAGATAGTCCCTCCTGCAGTTGCCTTGGCAGGCCCAGACCTAATGATTTTGCAGCCTAATGCGGCCCACGGACAGGTTCCCCACCCCTGTGTTAGACTGTGTTCATGATGAAACACAGACTGTTGATATGCGTCTGCTAAGCCCAGTACTGGGCTGGAGGTGCACCTGTATGTTGTTGTTGTTGTTAAGTACCGTGAAGTTGGTTCCGACTCATAGTGACCCTGCACAGGGTTTCTGAGGCTGTAAATCTTTATGGGAGCAAAAAGCCTCATCTTTCTCCCACAGAACGGCTGGTAGTTTCAAACCACCAACCTTGAGGTTAACAATCCGATTCATAACCACTACGCTACGAGAGCTCCTTCACCAGTAATTAGACAACTACAATACAAGACAAGGGATTTGGTCTTTGTGGGGAGACGTGGACCCTGTGGATACACAGATGGAGCAAGTCCTCACCCAGCCTGGGCAGCAGCTTCAGGAAAGGGACCTGACATATAGGGTCGAGTTTTCCAGTCTTGCTGCTGTTGTCATTTGTTGTGGGGGGAACTGCCCTGCTCATTGTAGGATGTTGAGAAACATCCTTAGGCCGGTAGGACCTCTTCCTAGTTGTGACAGCCAAAACTGTGTCCCAAACTCAACCCCAAACGAACTCACTGCTATCGGGCCGATTCTGATTCATGGTTACCTGGCCAGGACTTCCCAGGCTATAAATCTTTACTGGAGCAGCAAGCCTCATTTTCCTCCTGCTGAGTGGCTGGTGGCTTTAAGTTACCGACCTTGATGTCAGCAGTCCAGCATGGGGCTTCCATGTGGTATAGCTGCAGGACTTTAAAGGGGGGCGGGGGGGAGTTGATGACAGACGTCCCCTTTTCTCTTTGCACAGCAACAAGATAGCCTTGGGGCAGCTTTCCAGCCGTGGATGGACAGTAACAGAGCCCTTAGAATGGAGGTACTGCTGGAGCCCTGCCCCTGTGCGGGGCCTTCCTGGGACAACAGAAAGGATAGCCTATGGTGTGGCCAGCGCCCTCCCTGTGGTCTGCACCCAGCATTTCAGAGCCCTGCCTTCATGGGTATTCACAACCATCAAAGGGGACTGAGTGCAGAGGCCCAGAGTGGGCGGCAATGAGTCCAAAGCCACACAGCTGTTGTGAGCCACATGGACACGCACACACACGCACACATTGCTTCCAGAAGCCAGACGGAGGCGGGTTGGCTTAGCTCTGGTTTGTAGATGTGGAAACTGAGGCTCAAGGCTGCACAGGCAGAAGTTGTCCTCTCAGCATTCTCTTCTGGAACCCTCTCCTGGGACCTTCTGGGGTCCCTCTCCTCCCCACAGCCGTGACATCTGGTCCCAGTTCTGACCCCATCCTAGGGGAGCCCATCAGGGACCCAGTGCCCCATGTGTGCTGGTGTCTGCCTCTCCTCCCGCATTGACCAGGGATTCAGGGTCTCTCCCCAGTAGCCTGGACACCCCTGTTTGTGGTGCTCACAGGGACTTGGGCCATCACACACTAGAGAACATAGGTGACCATCAAGTCTGTTGAAGTCATTTACCAGTGCGGCAGTCCCTCTGTGTCTTTATCTGTGAAAGGGAGGGAGGTTCAACCTCTGCCCCAGCCAGGACCCTGGGAACTCAGAGATGTCCCCAGGTAGTGAGAACTCAGGGGCTATGGATGTTTGACTTGGGACTAGGCCAAGGTCTTACGGGCACTGGCTACCCCCTCTCTACTCACCAGGGTTACAGCCATGCAGATCGGCTGGTGCTGGACCAGGGAGGGGAGATTTTTAAAACCTTACACTACCTCAGCAACCTCATCCAGAGCATTAAGACGCCTTTGGGCACCAAAGAGAACCCTGCCCGGGTCTGCCGGGACCTCCTAGACTGTGAGCAGAAGATGGTGGATGGTAAGAAACCCTGTGGGGTCTGAGTGAGGGCTACCTACCCCAGACGGGATGGCGTGTTGTGGAAGGATCTATGAGCAGTCAAATTATGCATTCGACAAACAGGCCCAAACTCCACTGTGAGCCTGACCTTGTGTTTCCTCAGGACACAGAAAAGTGGACTCATGCTGCCCAAGCCCACAGACCCATTAGCTCAGCACAAGTCCCAAGGGCCACCAGGCAATGCCTTCAAGGCTTTGTTTAAGAGCCAGCGTTTCCACTGTCTATCCTCCTCTCCTTCCACCCACTCCTCTGGGAGCTGATGTGGTGCTATGGAGGGGACAAGCTTCAATGCAGACACACCTGAGCTGGAACACTAGCTCTGTGCTGGAGCTTGGCCCAGCCTCTGCTCTGCCTGTTGTCCAGGAAGGCTGAACAAGCTGGCAGATGGTCCCACTCTTTCAGCAGCAGAACCCTCAGTTCATCTGGAAACTCAGTGGGGAACCTGTACATGAGCCTTGGGTGGGTGCCTGACTCCCAGCCCTCCTGGCAGGCCTACCGGGAATCCTGGTGTTGGTGGAGAAACCACGCAACTGGTGGATCTCAAAATAACTTGGGCAAGCGGCTCGGCCTCTCCCTTGTCTCCTCCACAAAAGGGAGTTGTCACTACATCAACACAGACAAGCTTTCAGCCATGTGGCCCCCACCAGGGGCTTTGCCTGTTTTGAGTTCGGCCTCTGAGAGCTTTCTGGGTTTTGTTCCCCTGACTTCATGCCCTACTGAGGCTTCATACTCAGGTACAGGGTCTTTAGAACCATCCCTGGGACTCCTTCTCCCACAAATGCAACCCTCCCCATCCACGTTACTGCTTGCAGGTACCTACTGGGTGGATCCAAACCTTGGTTGCTCATCTGACACCATCCAAGTCTCCTGTAACTTCTCGCATGGTGGACAGACATGTCTCAAGCCCGTCACGGCCTCGAAGGTATCTACCCGTGCCCCACACCCTACCAAACTGGCCCTCTCTGCCCTCGTAACTTCCTGGAGACACTGCCAGCCCAGGTCTGAGCATTGTCTTGCTATGTGGCCTTGGGAAAGTTATTCCCTCGTTCCAAGCCTCAGTTTCTTCTTCTATAAATGAAGGATGAGTTCTTTTAGTTCCATAGCTTCCAAAGCCTTTGAAGTTGTATGAACCTGACGTTCTTTCTTCAAATAGTATCTTCTGCCTAAAATCAAAACAGAACATCTGGACAGATAGGCTTAGAGAACCATGGGCCATCAGCGTGAAATAAGCCCACGTGATGTTGCCAAGTTGTGCTACCTTCAGTGCATTGTGCTAATATTGAACTAGTGTCGAACAAGCACTTCCCATGTGCTTGTCTAAGGGCTGAGAGTTTGAGGGGATTCAGAAAACTCAACAAAATCCAGGCAGGCAGCAGCTATGGGGTGTGCTACCTCCCAGTGATCTGTGGGTCAGCAGTTTCAGTAAAAGGAGTCTTGATGTGGAACTGAACTGCTAACCACAAAGTTAGCAGTTCAAACCCACTAGCCGCTCCTTGGAAACCCTAAACAGGGTCACTATGAGTTAGAACTCAGAAACTCTACACAGAATCACTATGAATCGGAAACAACTGAATGGCACTTAACAACAAGAGTTCCAGTGGGAGCTCTGATGGTGGAGTGTTTACAGAGCCCAGCTGCTAACTGAAAGGTTAGCAGTTCAAACCCACCAGTTGGCAGTCTACTTCCCTAAAGATGTAGACTTGGGACTTATGGGGCAGTGTTATTCTGCCCAATTGGCTTGTTAGAGTCAGAATTGACTCAAGGGGAGGGATTTAGTTTTAGGTTTTGAATTCCATTAGGTCCTCCATGAAGAGTGAGGTGACCCTAGTGGATGAACACTGGACTTCAAACCACAGGGTTGGCGGTTCAAGCCCACTGGTTGCTCTGTGAAAGAAAGATGAGACTTTTTGCTCTCAAAAAGATTTGCAGCTTCAGAAACTCTATACAGGGTTGCTCTAAGTTGGAAGTAACTCAATGGCACTTAACAACAACAGGTCCTTCATACTTGGGGACAGTACATGACCCTGTGAGAAAAGCTTCTTTAGATACAGGGGAGGTGGGACCCAACGCTCCCTTGAGTCTCATCCCATCAGCTTCCCTGGGGAGGTTTGATTGGAGCAGAGTTTGTGAATTTCTAGTCAAAGCAGCCTTTTCAGTCAGCTGGTCTGCTAGCTGGGTTCTTCCCTTGTCCCAGGCCTTGAGCCAGGTACTAGGGGTCAACAGGGAGCCGGGAAGGCTTGCTGCTGCCCCTGCAGCCAGAATGCCCAGGCCATCAGGGATTCAGTGACCTCTGCAGACCCTCTCCCCTCTGATTCTGAGGTGTGGGCGCCACACATGACTTGGCAATGTAACTGTCCACCTGGGTGGCCATCCCCATCAGGAACAATAGCAGAGAGAGGCCCTGGCCCTCCCCAGGAGACCATTGGAGCCATAAAACCTGCCCTGTTGTTTGCTTTAAGCCCTGCCATTTCCTAAAGCATGGTGTTCTCCCCACCTCCACAGGGCTCTTGGCTGGGGGGCCTGGGGACTCAAGAGAGAATGCGGGAGGTGTAGCTCATTCTTCAGCTCTACAAGGGCCTCCCAATCTTGGGCAAGGTCCTCTTCCTCTCCAGGCCTCCCTGATCCCAGCTCAGTCCCAAAGGTCACCCATACAGTGAGGGAGGTATCCGATAACATGGGGACCCTGAGCTCCTTCCTTCCCGGTCATGCCTTGGCTATGGGACTAGTTGTCTTATACCTCAGTTTCCTTTCTTCCAAGTGGACACATGCCCCTCTTGCCCTTCTCACACAGGGCTGGGATGGATGTCAGATGAAAGAATGGTTGGGCACGAGAGCTTCTGAGAGTCCCAGTGGCCAGCTTGGCTGCACCTCACTGCTGCGTCTCCCCCACAGGTCGAGTTTGCGGTCAGCCGGGTCCAGATGAATTTTCTGCACCTGCTAAGCTCCGAGGTGACGCAGCATATCACCATCCACTGCTTTAACATGACCGTGTGGCAGGAGGGTACCGGGCAGATCCCAGCCAAGCAGGCTGTGCGCTTCCGGGCCTGGAATGGACAGATTTTTGAAGCTGGGGGTCAGTTCAGGCCAGAGGTATCCATGGATGGCTGCAAGGTAACTCTCAGAGCCCCTCGTGCTGGGACAGTGGGAACACTTTGTAGTATTTAAGCATTGTAATAATATACATAATAATTTTTATAGTCCCTGAATGGAGCAATTGGCTAAGTAGCTTGACTGTTAACCAAAGGGTTGGTGGTTCACACCATCAGAGGCGCCTCAGGAGACAGCCTTAAAAACCCTAGGGGGCAGTTCTACCTGGCACACTTGGGTTGCCATAGTCAGAATCCACTCAATGTAAATAACAACATGTTAATGTAATTATATATGTGGGGTATGTGCTGGCATAAAATTTTCATATGCTAATTTTATTATAATAGTTGTATAAGATCACTTATTAACTATCCTCTCTGGGAATCTTTTGAGAGAAAGTCTGGGCTGGTGAAAATTCTAAAGTTGATAGAGGCTGTACTTATTTACAAGACTGTTTAAAGGAGGATACATTTTTCCTCTTCTTCCTGCCCCTGCGTTGTTAAGGCTGATTTCTTCTCTTGACATCTTTGGTCATTTTGAAATGCTCACAATAAGCATTTCACACAAAGCTTTGTTATCGTGATGTGCTGTGGAGTCAGTTCTGACTCAGCGACCCTGTGTAGTGTCTCCAAAGAGCAGCTGGTGAGTTTGAACTGCTGGATCTTGTGGTTTACAGTCCGGTGCTTATCCTATAACACCACACCAGGACTCCTCACAAAGCTCCTGGGGGAAAGATAAATCGGTAGAGGCTCTCTGGACAGCAACAATGAGGTAACACTGATCCAAAGTCTTTAGGTCCAATAGCTCCACTTCTAGAATTTCTCCTGGGAAAAGCTCTGGTAGCGTAGTGGTTACGAATCAGGCTGCAAACCTTAAGGTCAGCGGTTCGAAACTACCAGCCGCTCTGCGGGAGAAAGATGAGGCTTTCTACTCCCGTAAGGATTTACACCCTCGGAAACCCTGTATGGGGTCGCTATGGGGTCGCTATGGGTCGGAACCGACTCGAAGGCACTTAACAACAACAGACACCAAAGAGGATATCCAAGCGACCAATGACGCTTTCCTTTTGAAAGGGAAAGAGTCCCATTGTTATTTGTAATTTTTCTTGTTGTTTTTAAGTGCCATCAAATCAGTTCTGACACATAGGGACCCTATAGAGGGTTTCCAAAGAGCAGCTGGTAGGTTTGAACCACCAACTTTGTGGTAGCAGTCCAGTGCTGATCCTATATATAAATCAAAACTACAGTGAGATACCATCTCACCCCTGCTCAAATGATGTTGATCAGAAAAGAGAACAACAGATGTTGAAAAGGATACGGTGGGAATGTAAAATGATAAAACCGTTTTGGGAAAACACTATGGTGATGTCTCACAGAGTTAAAAATAGAATGTCCCTATGACTCAGCAGTTCAATCCTAAGCTATACCGTAGGGACCAAAAAGCAATATTCACGAAAGCAAACAGGTGGAGACAGCCCAAGGACCCATTAACATATGAGTGGCGGTGGTGGTTATGTGCCGTGGAGTCAGTTCTGACTCATAGTGACCCTGTACAGGGTTTCCGAGGCTGTAAATCCTTACAGGAGCAGAAAGCCTCATCTTTCTCCCGCGGAACAGCTGGTAGTTTCGAACCGCTGACCTTGCTCTTCGCAGCCCGATTTGTAACCACTACGCTACCAGAGCTCCTTAACAAATGAGTGGATAAACAAAAAGCAGTGGACTACTGCTCAGCCCTAAAGAAATGTGATTTCCTGAAGCATGCTAAGCCTTGAAGACATTTTTTGCTGGACCAAATAACTCAGTCACAAGATGACAAATACTGTGTGGTCTCACGTATATGAAATAGGTAATTATAAAGAATGAGCATAAGGATTTAGCAACAATGATACCCATTACAGCCTTACTTTAAAAAAAAAAAAAAAAAAAGAAGCAATTTAAATGTCCAAAAATGGGTTGTTGCTATGGTGAAGTAGCCATCAAGAAGTCAAAGACAAGAACAATCGGCCATCCAAGATCACAAGGGCAGCACTTGCCCAGGAATAAAGCCCAGAGGTAGAAAAGATGGGGTGGTGGGGGTTGGGGAATGGACAAATGGCAACAGGAAACCGAGGGAGAAGAGAGCTTTTACAATGTAGGGATTACAATGTCACAAAACAAAGTATGCATGAATTATTGAATGGAAAACCAATTTGCTCTGTAAACTTTCACCCAAATCACAATTTAAAAGATAAAAAAAAAAATAAGAAGTATGAGGAGAAATGTCTCTGAGGAATGGTGAGAGCTGTGGTTGATGTGTATGTCACCATTTCGTCCTACCTGCAGGTCCAGGATGGCCGCTGGCATCAGACACTCTTCACCTTCCGGTCCCAGGATCCCCAGCAGCTGCCCATTGTCAGTGTGGACAACCTCCCTCCTGCCTCATCCGAGAAGCAGTACCGCCTGGAAGTTGGACCTGCGTGCTTCCTCTAACCTCTGACCTCCTGGCTCCTCTAGGCCTCATTGGGGAGGGAAGAGGAGGAGGAGGCAAAGGAGGGTACCTAGAGTCAGGTGGGCCCGGGAGAGGCAGCCCACCCACCCAGGGATTCTTGGGCAGGCCCAAACTGTTGTCTACCCTGTAGAAGTGGGTGGGGATAGCAGATGATGACAGGGTATCCTGGGGAGCAATGGTTCCCAGCTCAGTCCCAAAGACCAAAGAGCCAGCCAGAGCAAGCTGGGCCTGCAACCCACCTGAGCCCCATGGCCTGTCTGCCAGCTCTATGGCCACCCCCTTCCCTCCCCAGCTTCCTGCTCAGAGAGCCCCACATTCAAGCCAACTTGAGGGAAGGGGGCTTCTCATCAGCTGGTCCCTGCCAGGGAGCTTTTGATGTGCAATATTAGGAAGGAGACATGAAAAAAGGTGAAAAGGAAAGAAGTATATATATATTATTTAAACAAAAAGAAGATGTGTTACTATTTTTGTGTCACCTGGGAAGGAGGTGAGAGCACGAGAAAGAGCAGCCAGGGGGTGGGAAGTGAGGGCTCCCTGAAACGGAGAGGCAAGACCTCGGGGCTTGGGGGACCCACATTGCTACCTCCCACAGTGAAATCGCTGGTGCTCGAAATTATCTTGTAGTGTTTGTGATTTTTTTTTTTAAAGGAAAAACAACAACAACAACAAAAAATAACAACAACCCTATTTAAGATTCTAAAGGTGCTACCATTTTGCCACAGGCTTTGAAGAAAACTTTTCATGTGGGGCATTGTCCACATCTTGGGAAAAATTTAAAAATTTTTCCTATCATCACTCTAATGCTCATCAAGTATCTGCTTAAAGAGGAAAAAAGCAAAACGAAACCTGCTAGAACCCAGTAGAGAGATTGACATTTTAACTTATGGACTTCGAAATGTCTGTCCCCTTCAGGCAGGGGGAGGCCTTTCTTGGTCCTGAAGGGCACTTAGGCTCCCATGGAGGGCGTGTCCTGGAGAGGCACTGGAAGGAGTGTGTCATTGGTCAAGTCTGGTCTGGGAGGTGGGACTTAAATATTGAGCCATCTCCCAAAGCCACAAAATGCAACCCTAAGGCCTTACCTAAGATCCTACAGTGGCAGCTGCAATGGGCTCAAGTGTAGTAACAATTGTGAGTTGGCACAAGACCGGGCAGTTTTTCATTCTGTTGTGTGTAAGGTCGCTGTGAGTGGGTAACTCAACAGCACCTGACAAGAAAAGGTCTTACCTTCTTGCTTTCATTGTCATGACATTCTCTAGAAAGCCAGTGTCATGAGCTCCAAGTGTAAACTGGACTGAGGGAAAGGCTAGCCATGGGAATCTCAGTTCAGCACTAGAGCCATATTGAGTGTAATCTGAATTGTGCTATGTCAGACAACACATCAGCGTTCAAGTTGGATAGCGAGGTAATCTTAACTATAATTACTTTCATAGACGGGCAAAATGTATGTGAAAGTCTATATTTGTGTATTTTTCTAAAGTTGTGTCTCTTTGGGAATTGGATTTGGTTTTCATTATTTAATACCTCATTCTGGCCCACCCTCCCAACCGGACACTCTCCTCTCTGGCCCCGCCCGGACGCTCTGACGGAAGTGCGTTCTGACGGAAGTGCGTTTTTGTAGCAGCTTGGGCCTCATCTCAGCCCTCAGTTTCCCCTTGCCGCCAGTCTCAGTCTGGCCTCTGTCTAGTTCTTGGGTTTTTCTGCTGTCCGCGTTTTTGTCTCTGTCCATATGTCAGTGTGTTAGAACCCCAGTGGGTTCCATTTCTACTCCTTTCTGGATTTTAAATAAATATTTAAAACTGAGGCAATGGAATGGCTGTCAGTGGTGATGTGCTTCTTCCCAAAGATTGGAAGGTGAGTTCTGGGCACATTATTGGGGAGGATGCTCAACCAAAGGAGGAAGAGACGCAAGGAGGGATGAGGTGCCTTGGGTTGGGGATTGCTAACAGATAGGGAACTTGAGCTCTGTAGGGAAGAGGCATGTTGAGGTTAATAGGAGAGAAAAAAAATGTATTGTGATAAAGTATACAGAACATAAGGAGCGTTGGTGCTGCAGTGGGTTCAGCATTCAATTGCAAATGGAAATGTCAGCAGTTCAAACCCAGCAGCCTCTCCACAGGAGAAAGATAAGTCTGCGTCTGTAAAATTTACACCCTCAGAAAACCTCTGACTTCATTTCTATTCTGTCCTGTAGGGTCACTATGGGTCAGAATCCCCTCAGTGGCAGTGGATGGATTTGTGTTTATACAAAACATAAAGTTTACCGTTAGTTACATCTGGTGCATTAATAGTATTGTATCAGCAACACCCTTATCTAGTGCCAGAATATTTTCATCATCCAAAAGGACGTCCTATATTCATTGAAGAAGAGCGCTGTGGCTTCGTATGATAGGCACTGGACTTTGAATCACAAAGTCCAGGGATCGAGCCTGCCAGCCGCTCTACGGGAGGAAGATGGGGCTTTCTGTTCCTGTGAAGATTTAGAGCCTCAGAAAACCCTGCACAGGATAGTTATGAGTTGGAACCGATTCAACGACACTTAACAACAATAACAATACTCCCATTTAACACTCACTTCTCATTTCACACACACCGAACCCCTGGCAACACGAATCTGCTTTCTACCTCTATGGATTTGCCTCCAATGAGTATTCGTGTACAGGTATCACAACATATGGCCTTTGGTGACTTTCTCTCAGTATAGTGCACTCAGGGTTCATCCACGTTGTAGTGTGGATCACTAATTCCCTTTTATGCTTGAGGACTGTTTGACTGTGTATGTTCACCACAGTTTGTTTGTTCACTCACTCCCTGGTGGACATGTAGATTGTTCACCATTGACTACTGTCACAAGTGTGGCACCAAGGGCAGTTCTTACATGTGAGATTCTGTTTTTGGTTTTTAAATCTTGAATAATAATTTCATTGAAAAGTACAGGGCCATTACACAACTGCCATTTTGTTGACAAGATAGTACCATGTTTCAATTCTTTTGCGATGGGCATCTTGCCAAGCTGAGCTATAAATATGGGCATCTCTCCCACTCTTTCTCTAGAGCGTCAGTGACAAGTCATTCACTGTTGTATTTTGTAGCCAACAAAGATTTAATGAATAATAGCACCACAGACTACATAGCTATTTGAGTTTTCAGAAGGTAAAAGTAATTTTAATAACGTTTGCGTATAAGAATTTTATTCTTAGTAAGTAGGGTTACAGAAAGAAAAACCTTTACCCATAATGGACAATTCCATCACTCTTTAGCATTCACGGGTTAGAATATCCCAATGACCTGTTTCCTAAGGGCAGATTCTGAAGGGGAGGTCAGGTAAGTTGATTTTAGTTCTCTAGTACAGAGCGATCTGGACCTCTGCAGAGAATCACCATCCACAAATGAACTGCTTACTGACAAGATGAGAACTTTATGTCCTGGAAGTACTTACAACCAGGTCTGATGAGTGACTAATAATGAAGCTACTTTAAAAACGAAAACTGTATCACCCAGAAAATAATATCTTAATTATCCAAACACACATTTTCTACATTCTACATTTTCTACGTACATTATAATCTTATTGTAAAATAAGGTTATCAATGTCAAATAAAATATTTTCCTCACTTGCTTCTATTCAAGTCTTTATAAGCAGCTCTTGATTTTTCCTTCCCCAAATGTTGTATGACACTCTTGGGGCAATAATGAGTTCTGAAATGTCATGGTAAAGGACTTGACCATTCATCCATAGGATGTTTCATCAAATCATCTATGGGATATGAGTTTTGGTTCCACTTGCAACATGCAGTCCTAGTGGTTTTTTTCACAGCCATCCTTTGACAAGTTTTTAGAAACATTTATCATGATGAGCTTTACACATAAAAACTCAAGCTTTGTTGAATCTTGAAGAGCCCCTTTATGGAGCCTGTGGGCTCCACTTTGGTGCTCAGCAGCCTGGCCAAGTGCATCCTGCTCCCTCCTCTGGGCAGTAGGGTCGTAAAGCACCTGTGAGCTTCTTGAGAGAGGTTGCAAAACCACCCAGCTTGGAATAAGTGAGTGAGAGCCTGGGAGAGAGAATGGACAAATTTAAATACAGGCTCCCCAGGTAAATATGGATTGTAGATGAGTAACAAGTACATCTATCCTGTGCAGCCTTAGGGGTTTACTTAAACTAAAAAAGTTAATTGCTATTTATCTGAAATTCACATTTATCTGACCGCCCTGCATTTGGTCTGGCAACCCTACTGGGAAATGAGGTAACCTGTTGGGACTGGAACCCACATCTGACCCTCGGGTCAGATCGCAAGGGAAATTGGATGAGTTGGACCTCTCTGCCCTTGACATCTAGGAGAAAGAGCAAACACAGTAGGTGCACTTGCATCAGGGATTTTAGGTTTGAAAAACTTGCATTTCGTACCCTGGTCTCGTCAGTGTACGTGCAACCCGCCTTGACACCTGCCCCAAACACAGCTGCCCTGTCACAGTCCGAGATGCGTCGCTGCAGAGCCCAGCAGGTGAAGTCTGGAAGGACTTGGAGAGTCTTCCACCCAAGATACACCCTTCCTTCCATTTTACTAAGAAGGAAAGTCTTTGATCCCAGGAAGTGCCCGAGATCACATATAAACCACGGCAAAGCTAGAGTCAAACTGCTGATAAAGATCTTATTAATGTGCGTTAGACTTTTGGATCTCAATGACCAGCTGCTTGTTAATAGTGTGACCCTTGTCACAGTGGGACCCAGCAATCTGTGTTTAACAAGTTCTTTTGGAGACTCTTGGGCTAAGAAGCATGGCTCTGCACTATCTGAGGGCTGGAAAATGGTTTTTCAACACTGGAAGCAAACTCAGAGATGAAGAGATAAAAGTATTCTTTTTCATTTAACTGACGAGCAAGGATGGTCTAGCTCCTGAATCACTTTTAGAATGTGTCATGTAATATCATCCCAAAGAATTTGTCCAGCTGTTGGATTCTGATTCCCAGTTAGTATGGAAGGTTC